ATAGATCTCATTTTAATAAATGTCTAAAGCACCCGCTGAAAAACTCATATAATAAAGGATCGTCACGATTCAAAGAAGAAAAGAAGGTAGTCAAATAACTCCTGACATAGAAAATCGGCTACGGTTTCCATGTTTCAATTTGAATTTTAACTTTTTAAACAAAAATTGAAATATTTCCTCCGGATATTATTATTATAGGGTATTGTTTACCAATGGTCCTTTTCTGTTAGAATATACATTTAGGTATGCGTAATATAATTCCAGGTGTACATATTTGCATCAAGTACCTTCTTTAAACCAATTTGTATGATAACCTTATCTTACCAGATGTCAGAAACGACTTTTCCCCAGATTTCCTGTTATCGCGCACTTCATGTCCGTTAAGACTACCCGAGTTATCTCCCATTGTTGATGTCTGAAGCTGTTGTTGAAGGTACATCATATTGTTTAGTAGTTTAGTAGTTGTAAGCTGTTACATTTCCTTGGATACGGTTCAGCTTATGAAGTTACCATTTACCGTATTTATGTTTGTTATCTGTTGATAGCATGATGTGATAACATGGTGGAAAAATGACATCGCGTTATTAGGTATGAAGCGTCCCTAAAATCATCCTCTATAACTCCAGGGTATACGTTCCGATAAGCCTCCACTATATACTTTGTAGTGGAGGCTTATCGGAACGTATACCCTGGAGATATCGAGGATACCCTAAAATACACATAGGTGTGCGTCATTCGTCACCACTCGTCCCTTTCCGTAACCTCCAGCGTGTCCCGGAATAACACGAGTTGATCACGAATGAGGCGTGCGTGTTATATCTTTCTTGTGTATCCTGTTTAAAGGGGCATTCCAGCCGTATGACGGTGAAATGTAAGTAATCGGGCCTGGCCCAGACAATCCAGTGATTGATACAATGAGCAACGATTCAACCATGACACGCCATCAGTCAAGTCTCCGAGCATCCACCCCGTTCCATTTAGACACCTTTTACGCCCGAAACAGATTGCTGAGAACCGCTTCTGATCTGGAATCCCAATAGGCTACGTTCCAAAACTCTAATTCAGGACCAGTGAGTGAGTGAGTGTGTGTTTTACGCCGCTTTTAGCAATATTCCAGCAATAACACAACAGGGAACACCAGAAATGGGCTTCACACATTGTACCCATGTGGGGAATCGAACCCGGGTCTTCGGCGTGACGAGCGGACGTTTTAACCACTAGGCTACCCAACCGCCCCTCAACTCAGGACCAGGGTGTAGAAACATTGATGCCACATTCCATCTGTTCATAAGTAATCACACATCATTAGAGATTGTGATATTGTTTGCACAAATCGAGGTTACTGTACATAATACACACTCATTAATCTGGCGAGGAGTATTTTTTACTCACTATCAATGATCAGACTGGGGAGGAATCCAGACTACAAGGGTTGATTGTCTTGTATTGTGCTATCCAAGGTATTGTGTGTATAAAATGTTTTGCTCTAATATACCTTGGGTTGTCAATATATCGGATAACACATATTTATTTACCAGTGTGGAAATTACATTACTATATTATGCTAAACACATTTTCACGTTCATTACATTTGTATGAAAGGAGCGGGTTATCACCTCACCCAAGACTATGTTAGGTTAGGACTATAGGTTTTTCTATATATGTTTGGATCGACTGCATGATATATTAGGCTCCGTGATCCTATGTCATACGGCAACGAGTACAGGTTTAATAGGTTCCGAAATCCTGTGGTGTGTGGCTTGAATGCACATTAGTGTTGAGCTTCAAGAACCTATGGTATATTGCACCGAGTACATTAGGCCTCGACAACCTGAGATATTTGGTTCCGAGTACATGTATTTTAAGCTCATAAAAATAACAAAATAGAAAAAAGTGTGCCTTTCGAGATGACACAACAACGTGGATGTTCATATTGGCACGATGTCGGTCTGAGCGGGGCCCCGTTCCTTAAAGCGATCGATCATAGCGCTACGACAGTCGTAAGTCTATGTTAAAGTATGGGAGTTACGATCATCTTAGCGCTACGACAGTCGTAAGTCTATGTTAAAGTATAGGAGTTACGATCATCTTAGCACTACGACAGTCGTAAGTCTATGTTAAAGTATAGGAGTTACGATCATCTTAGCGCTACGATCGCTTTGAGGAACGGGGCGCTGTACTACAATACTGTTAAAGGATATGTGTCAAACTGTTCTAATACCAACATGAAATAGGGCTATTAGTATATAATGGTAATGCTAAATAAGTATATTCTGTCACTTATAGTGATAAAAAACCTTCAAGTATTTGCAGATTTAACTTGTATGTTGCTGGCAACTTCTGATAATATCCAGTGCATGTCAAGAAAGGCTACGCTTTGTATTTGTCAAGGGAAGCTGAATAGGCTTGATGAGCAATTGTTTTGAAGACAATGTACCCCCATTGGACAGTTCAGAGTATAGTGATATGACGCTACCGGAAAATCCTTCAGATATATGTTTCGATATGATGCAATATATTCTTTTCTTGATCAAAATATCAAGAAATATAGCCTTGTCAGTAATGCTAAAGTGAGCATGGTTTTACGATGCTTTTACCAATTATCATGGCAGGATACAACATAGAGGAGTTTCATACAAATGACCTAAACCGGGGCTGTCGACGTTTCAATGTACGTTTACTTTGTCACTACATTTGAGTATAAGACAGTTTCATTTTGTGCTACCTCTATAGGTGATAGAACACCAATTCTCACAAAGAATGCCCTATTTGAAAGACACAAATCGTAAAAACTAAAGACAATATTGCTGTCACTTGTTGTTGCTGTTTTATTGAAGAAAGTGTCACGAACGAAAATCAGAAATTGTAGCACTCAAGGGGAGCTTGTAAAAATTCCATCACATCTCATACAATACCACCCTACACGATCGTTGTAATCTACGTGGCTGTTCTTTATGATGGCTGCATAACACATAGAAGGGAGATATCATTCACAAAGTTAAGTCGTTAATCCCAAAGTTGTGTTTCGTTAAAGAAACAACATTACATGTAACATCCTCTCCACTCAGTTGAGTTTGTTATCATTATAACAATAAACTTGATCAAGCCAAAGCTCTTGAAAATATAACTTTATGTTATACTGTTAAATGCAGTTCTTTACGCAAAAGCAGTCTACAGAAAGAATCGACATCTGAGAGGTAATATCATGAGTGAGTGAGTGAGTTTGGTTTTAGGTCGCTTTTAGCAATATTCCAGCAATATCACGGTGGGGGACACCAGAAATGGGCTTCACACATTGTACCCATGTAGGGAATCGAACCCGGGACTTCGGCGTGACGAGCGAACCCCTTAGACACTAGGCTACCCCACCACCCCGGTTATATCATGAACTTCACTGACAATACAACAGCATTTATAAAAATTAATATTATTGATCAGGTTGTTAATGAATGCCTTTGTAACGTAGATTACAGATTTGCACAAAAACACTTGTTCACATGAATAACATTCATTCCTTCTTTCTCCCTATTCCCTTGTCCGTAATCCCGCTGGATCTCGGCATGGGTCTTGCCCATTCTGTCAGAATTCAACAATGATATTTTTGTAATCTACGTTACCTTACAAACTAATTCATTGGACGTAATGATCGTCCTCATATAGACTGATCTTACAACAACTTACCATATATGAAAGTCATTATTGCTACTTGATTAGCAATAAATATAATATTCATAACAGCTACCGGGCCATGTGATAGTTATGAAGGTATTACTTCATTCATTGCAATCTACGTTACCATGCTTTGAGGAGTGAGTACAAAATTGAGGTGAAAAATATGTTGCATTTTTTTTAAAAGATCGAAATATCATACGTTTAAGGACAATATCAATATGTCTTAAAAATCTATGTCATATTACCAGAATTGATACAAGCTTCACGAAATATAACTTTTACACTGCATTTTACGTTCTGTAACGTAGATTTCCCCTATTGTGGCGACATATTTCGTAGTGTCACATTTGTTATGTTTAATATGATAATCCCTTCATTTTTTCATAGGTTTTGATGGTAAACATACTAATTGTATCCATGTGTTTAAATACAGCTTTGGCGACACCAAGAATGAACAAAGTGTGACACATGTTTTGATTGTTACAAACAGAATAGTCATTTCCAGTTGATTTCTGCGAATTATACCATGTTTACTTGGTAGTACTGGATGTGTATTTGACTTTTATTCGTGTTTATTCGTCTGCTAAACAAGTACAAATCAAAACGACAGAAGAAATAGGTAATTGGGCATTCTCTCTGAGAATTGGTGAGAACCCTTTATTAAGTTCATGGTGCATTCGTAAACAGTAAAGCTTGACATTATTAATAGTGAGCGACAACAAATGTATTATTCACACATAGTATGGAAAAGTCCAACGTCTGAGACTTGTATTGATTCCAATTTTGATTAAATGTTCTTATAGTGCCATTTTTAAAATTTAAATTGAACAACATGTAAATGACTATTATCAAACCAATAATTGTAATCAAGGCGAAAGTGGGATTCGCACTATCCAAAACAGGACTTAATGTGGCAAGATGAGTTGGCACAGGTGTGACAAGGGCAACGACCTACCTCCTTTACCCTTACGAGTTCTTTGTGCTGAGAGGCAGTGTGCGAAACAGCCACTGGCCCGCTAGCCTGTGGCTAGTAAAAATCCAGTCGGGCCAATAAATCTCCACAGTCACTGGCCCGACTGGCTAGTGAATTTTCATGGGGTCATTTTGTAAATATATGACTCTCCGACTTGTTAAGTTATAATACACTTTTAAATCATGCACGATTATGGCCTGATGAAAATGGTCATCATATTAGCAGCTTAATGATGAAACCCCTGTCATTCCGACAATATCTTATTCTCATCTATTTTTGTAATCGTTTTCTTAGTTTCTACATTCAAATTTCGGAATTATTTTTTGGGCTGGTAACTTTCAGGCATAACTAGCCCGACTGCTAGAAATAAATTGGTAACTATTTCGCACACTGCTGAGAGGCATAGTTTGTGTAATGGGCACCTTTGCACAAACCATTCTTAGCACTACACCTATTTTAACACCAACCCTTCACACAGGCTTGTAAGGAGCTGACACCTTGACGCGGCTTATACGTAGCTAAATAGTGTTCCAACTGCTTTCCTGTGTATATCGACATGGGTTACCGATCTTGCGGTTTGGGGTCAGTTGCCGCGTCATATTATGTAATAGATTAACCTCCTCTTACACACTAGAAGTAGTGGTTCAAATACAGAGAATTAGTATTCATAGTAAGCCTGAATTGGCAGCAGTTTCCGCCTTTCATACTTCCAAGAAAACAGTCTGTTGGAATATTCTTCACAACAACTACAGAACCTCTTCCCAAGGACATCACAGAAGTGAGTCCTGGAATCTGCGCCCTGGAAGCTTCTTGCGCATGTCGGAAATCTCGAGTTCCGCTTCCTGTATTCCTCAGAGTACTTATGACGAACATACAGGTCCTTGTTCCTACGTCTGCTGAAGTAGTTCTGATACACTGTTGGAACGTGAACCTCATCACGCTCATATTTCTGGAAGTCCCCGTTGTGTAGTAATCTGACAGAATATAGTCCTTCTCTTTGTCCACGGATCGCCTCGGAGTGCAGTCATTTTCCGATACTCCGTTAGTGTCATCCCGTATCAGTCTCTCATATCGCTTTTGTTGTTTGATGCCGTAAAGGTTCTTCCGGTCAAACAACCGGTCGTTTGATTCCGCCACCAGCAAGCTCTTCTCTTTGCCTAACTCCGGCATAGTCCAGTATTTGGTCTTCTTCCGCTGTTTAATCTTTCTGGCGTGAGGATCACCGATAACCGCATATTTTGAGCACACTAGTTCCGGTATTTTGCTGTCAGACAAACTGCTCAAGGATTCCGTACTTTGATGGAAGCTGACACTCTCAAGGTCATCGTTGTTCTCACCAAAACCGATATTATGAATGGGGAGTAATTTTCCTGCTGATGGTGACCTTGATTTCTTAGCTCGTCTATATGCCAGGTCTTTCTGGTTCCCCATTGTGCCTTGCCTGAAGCAAATGAAAGGCGTTGAATGATTAATATATCATATTTTACACTCGTTTAAGAACACACCAACAAATGACCTGTCGCAAAAATCTACCTGTGCTAACGGCTCTTTCCACGGTTAATCGCCAGCCACAAAGCCACTTCGGTCTGATATCTAAGGGGCGGTAGGGTAGCCTGGTGGTTAAAAGGTTTGCTCTTCACGCCAAAGGTTCGGGTTCAATTCCAGATATGGGTACAATGTGTGAAGCCCATTTCTGGTGTCCCCCGCCATGATATTGCTGGAATATTGCTAAAAGCGGCGTAAAACCGTAGAACCATAGAACCGTTACAGTTGCCAAATCATCCCAAAACAGAATCCATACTCTCTCAAATCACCACACTTCTCTAACCGAACGGTCCTCAATCACTTAACCCGTTGTCCACAAAACCATCAATTCATCGATCATATATCACAGAAGTCGTGCAGTCCATAAGTCCCACTCCACTGAACCCGTACAGACCTCAGTTACATATCACAGAACCAGTACAGGCCTCAGTTACATATCACAGAACCCGTACAGGCCTCAGTTACATATCACAGAACCCGTACAGGCCTCAGTTACATATCACAGAACCCGTACAGGCCTCAGTTACATATCACAGAACCCGTACAGGCCTCAGTTACATATCACAGAACCCGTACAGGCCTCAGTTACATATCACAGAACCCGTACAGGCCTCAGTTACATATCACAGAACCCGTACAGGCCTCAGTTACATATCACAGAACCCGTACAGGCCTCAGTTACATATCCAGAACCCAGGCCTCAGTTACAGAACCACAGAACCCATACAGGCCTCAGTTACATATCACAGAACCCGTACAGGCCTCAGTTACATATCACAGAACCCGTACAGGCCTCAGTTACATATCACAGAACCCGTACAGGCCTCAGTTACATATCACAGAACCCGTACAGGCCTCAGTTACATATCACAGAACCCGTACAGGCCTCAGTTACATATCACAGAACCCGTACAGACCTCGGTTACATATCACTGAACCCGTACAAGCCTCAGTTACACATCACAGAACCCGTACAGACCTCAGTTACATATCACAGAACCCGTACAGTCGTATCTCAGAGCTACCAAGTCCCCAGTCACCCATCCCAAACACTTTGCACGACACTCGATATATATCATTATCTCTAATCCTCGTAGTCGCTACAAGACCGACTAAAGTGATCTTATCAAGTAACACCGATTCAATATTTGTGTAGCAACATGTTACAGATTTATCTGTCTCGACGTGGGCCGTTCGAAAGGCTATTACTTACACTATACAAACAAACGAATCAACACCTCAATCACTTCGAGCGTTTAGATAAGTCTCCCCACTATAGAGCAGTACAATCTACACGAAAAGTCCGTCAACTGTAGAGCTGTACAATCTACACACGGACACTGCATTAAACCTGGACGTTATGGCATGGGTTAGGGCTATATAACGGTAGTTCCTCCTTACAGAAGTGTGTCTTTGTTGTTTTAAACCTGCCTAAAATACACGCATACACCATCTTTATTTGTTTATTGTTTAACCCACACTCAGCAATATTCCAGTTATAAGGTGGTTGTCTGTAAATAATAGAACCTGCACCAGACAATCCAGTGATCAACAGCATGAGCAATTGGGATACGATGACATGTGTCAACCAATTCAGCAAGCTTGACCATCCGATCCCGTTAGTCGCCTCTTACAACAAGCATGGGTTGCTGAAGACCAATTCTAACCCGGATCTACACGGGTATATATACCATCTGACGTATTGGACGTTTGGTCATGATGCCGTAAAACATGCATTTACTTTTGGAGGCATGCTTTAAAGTCGCGATGGTTAACTCAACATCCACGAAAAGATCTAATACTAGAAGTTCAACTGCATTTCTTCACTGCCATACACGACCTGCACACTACTCGATGTTTGAGGTATAAGAGAATTGTACGTTGTTTTTTGCAAAGAACCTCAATAGAATTGAATCAGTGGGGGCATGTGTTGACTAAATGACTGCCGGTACAAAATAGCTTGACGGTGTAACAACCCTGATCTGGGGTCAATGCTAGACCATGCGAACATGCCAATGCTTAACGCTTACTGTTGATGCCTATAAACACCGTACCACACACACCACACCGTACCTTATCGTCGCCACACACACCACATAACACCACACCACACCGTATCACACACACCACACCGTACCTTATCGTCACCACACACACCACATCACACCACAAACATCACACCACACCGTACCACACACACCACACCGTACCTTATCGTCGCCACACACGCCACATAACACCACACCACACCGTGCCTTATCGCCACCACACACACCACATCACACCACAAATATCACACCACATCGTACCTTATCGTCACCACACACACCACATAACACCACAAACATCACACCACACCGAACCTTATCGTCACCCCCCCCCCCCCCAAAACAACAAAAAACACCCCAGCGAAACACACTTTTAAGTCACAATTAAAACACTGTTCAAAATACTTCCGTCTTTTCTTCAAATAATCCCAACACAAAGGTGGACATTTTCTTTTGTACTTTCTTTAACAACACCACAAAACATTAAAAAAAGATATATCCTACCTCATATGTCTTAGCTACTCGTTGTTACTGTGTCGTCAACGCCGCAATGCTGAGAAGCATACGTGCAGGATGTCGACAACGTTGCTCTGATGTTCATCAGACTGGAGAGCAGTGGATCTGTAACAAACGTTGTAACAGTTTCACAGTACTTAGTTATCTGACCGGGTCGGTTGCAACCCCTAACAATCCTATCACGACAACATCAACAAAGAACTGGACGTTTAACTCGGTGATACTTGACACATCATCGCCATGAATGTATTGCAATCATCAAACACGCACATTGCTCGTTAAAGTTCCAATTAAGAAGCTATTCGAGTGCTGACATACCCTTCCAGTGGTGTATTTGAAGGTATTGGTCCGAGAACTGTTGTTTGGTCTGGGGCACAGCTTTGATTTGTGTACAGAAGTGTAATCAAGCTGAGTATAATTATTTATTGCATTTATTTCTTATTTGTCGTTTAAAGCCACTTGCATCGATATTTTAGCTATATGGTGGCGGGTGTTGGTAACCTAGACATGACAATCCAGTGATTAACTCGCAATCATCCAGGTAACCGAGTCTGAGCCAACGCCGTCTTATGTCAAGTAAATCACGGATTGACACCTGAAATCTCTGCAGATCCGTCAAGATCCGGGTAGGATTGGTCTTTAGTACCCATGTTTGTCGTAAGAGGCGACTAACAAGTTCGGGTGGTTAGGTTCGCTGAGTTAGTTGATGCATCCCGATTGCGTAGATCGATACTCACAATTTCAATCACTGGATTGTCTGGTCCAAACTCGATTATTTACTAACCACCGCCATACAGCTAGAGTATTGTTGAGTACCGTGTTTATCAACAACAAACAAATGGAATAAATGTATAAAATTTTGTGAATAACAGTGTTGTCTAGTACAGTGATGCTGTTCTTCTTTACCCAGCATATAGTGTTGTTTTATTGGGTTTTAGTTAATACCCCCAAAATGATTGCATGGCGTTGGAGGAATGATCATAGGTGTAGGTGAAAGCCGTTCCTGTCACCTACAGGGACCTGTAGAGTCTATCCCTAAGGGTCTATTTATCTTCTATTAAATGATCTTCCACTAAAGGGGCGGTGGGGTAGCCTAGTGGTTAAAGCGTTGGCTCGTCACGCCGAAGACACGGGATCGAGTCCCCACATGGGTACAATGTGTGAAGCCCATTTCTAGTGTCCCCCGCCGTGATATTGCTGGAATATTGCTAAAAACTATATACCATGTAGCTCTGAAAACAAACAAACAAGAGAATAATTGTAGCGCTAAGATCGTTCTGTGCAAGTGGGCCCGGGTCACAGTTTAGAAATATTATGTACTTAATCATCGCGTTTTCTTTAAAGTGAGTGAGTGAGTGAGTGAGTGAGTGAGTGAGTGAGGGCTTACGCCACTTTCAACATTGTTCCAGCAATATCTCTGCGGGGGACACCAGAAATGGGCCTCACACATTGTACCCATGTGGGGAATCCAACCCGGGTCTTCGGCGTGACAAGCGAACGCTTTAATCACTAGGCTACCCCACCGCCCCCTTGTTTAAAGACTCCAGTTACATTATACATATATGAATATAACGCAGATAAAATAACTTAAGCACAGAAGCAATATTGATCGGTAAATTCAAACAAGTATGCAGACAGATGAGCAAACAGCATTCTCACAAAGCACGCTCTGTAAGAGTGAGAGTGCCTCTGTATTGTTGAGCACGCCTGATTTGAAAGGTGATACTCGGAAGACGGACTCGTGAATACATACTCAAGTGGAGGTGGACTTCTCTACAGTCAACTAATGCATGTGTATATTAAAGCGTATATTGCATTGAATTGTATGCATGCTATCTGTTAGACTAAGGCTTAGTCTCTGAATATATATAATTTTGATAGTAACAAACAAGCCCATTTATATTGAAAAGGAGCCCTGGGGAGACCAGAGATTCAGAACCTGAGGAAATCTAGACTTGCTTTATTTAGGGCTTTAGCACTGCAGAGAGGGCTTGGCAGTAGGGATATTAATGTGGTTCAGGGACTGTGAGACAGACTAGCTATCTGTAGTAACGCCCCACTCGATCGCGCTGCTGACGCGACCGGTTCGCGATCTGTTCGTTATACAAACGCGAGCCTTTCGTGGTACTACAATCCCAATCCTACTCTGATATAAGCAGGATCCGGGTTCGATTCCACACATGGGTAGAGTGTGTGGGGCTTGTCCTAAGTAACTGCGAAACTGCTGCAGTATCACTGAAAAACTGCTTTCCATTTCGTGTCTCATGATCCAGGTGCCATTTTTACCCGTGAAGATCCGGGTTAGAATTGATCTTCAGTAACCCATGCTTGTCGTAAGAGGCGACTAACGGGATCGGGTGGTCAGGATCGCTGAGTGCGAAACTCATTCACTCAGGTGACATTTCGTGGTTCTGTAGAGGGATGTTCCGCGTAGAGAGATATTGATTTGAACAGTTGTGTTATTGGTATAGGAAAACAGAAGATTCACAAACACATGAAGATAGATCTTAGTTTGTTATCTTAATGCAAAAATATACAACGTCAGTGCCAAACAATAATTGGTTATCTGTGGAGAAAGGGTTGTAAAATTCCAAATAGTGATGAACATTATTTAAATCATAATTTAAAATAATTGGTTATCTGTGGAGAAAGGGGTGTTAAATTCCAAATAGTGATGAACATTATTTAAATCATAATTTAAAATAATTGGTTATCTGTGGAGAAAGGGGTGTTAAATTCCAAATAGTGATGAACATTATTTAAATCATAATTTAAAATAATTGGTTATCTGTGGAGAAAGGGTTGTAAAATTCCAAATAGTGATGAACATTATTTAAATCATAATTTAAAATAATTGGTTATCTGTGGAGAACGTGCAAAGGTTGTAAAAATTCAAATAGTGATAGATCATACATTATTTCTTAATCATAATTTAAAATAATTGGTTATCTGTGGAGAAAGGGGTGTTAAATTCCAAATAGTGATGAACATTATTTAAATCATAATTTAAAATAATTGGTTATCTGTGGAGAAAGGGGTGTTAAATTCCAAATAGTGATGAACATTATTATAGCATTATTTAAAATCATTGACGATACCAGTTGTTCGCGAACGTGCACAACGTGGGGTATTTATAATGTAAAACGTCAGTGAAAAGGAATGGCCCGTCTTCAGTATGCTCAAATTATAGTTTAAAGGGCAAAATATTGTATGAATGGATCACTGAAAATCGGTGATCATCCTAGTTACAAGGAGGAAAGATCGGCACGGGTTTACTGCTTACAGGCTAATGGTCAAAAACAGGTTAAATTCTGGAAACGAACCTACAAACTACGCATCCTTCAACAACACGGGGACATTACTCGTCTCAGACTATACGGAAATCGTCCCTTGTCTCAATGTCATCATCAGATTATGCTTAGATGATGAGAAATATCTGCTTTCTTTCATCAGTTTCACAGTAGGGCTTAAACCTAATAACCATATTTACGTATAGCATCCGAAGAAATATCTGATATATGTATACTTACATGTCACGACAGTCGACAGCTTCCAACCAAACACAATTCCACGTTAAAATGAACATCAAGATTCACCACAACCAGCATTCAGAAAAACTACCCAACAAATCCGTCATATATATAGCTCAACACAAACACCCCTCTCTACCCGTGCCCTTACAGTTGTGTATACCGGTTGTATGTGTATCGATCATAACGCTCCGATTGGTTTTGATCGATTTCAAGTGTTGTTCGACCGCGTTATGGGTTTGATTTACACCGGTGGCGTGAGGAACAGATTGATCTTGTGCAGGAATCGAGTGCTTTGGACACTGCCTACTTTGTAATAAATCTGAAGGTTGTTAATATGAATTACTTGTAAGTGTCTTCACAGATATGCTTGATTGAATGACAACGTTTCAAGAATGTCATGTGACTATGATGCCAGATTATTAATATCATAACGCTGCGATTAAATATTCTTTCGGGATTCGAACCCACGGTATGGTATAAAATTTGAAAATGAGATTACATAAATTTGCTTGCATTTCAGTTGCATCAAGGCCGTTTTAGCAGAGGCTTTAGTACCAATATAATACTAGTCAAGTACCAATCTAATACTCGTCAAGTACCAATCTAATACTAGTCAAGTACCAATCTAATACTAGTCAAGTACCAATCTAATACTAGTCAAGTACCAATCTAAGACTAGTCAAGTACCAATCTAATACTAGTCAAGTACCAATCTAATACTAGTCAAGTACCAATCTAATACTAGTCAAGTACCAATCTAATACTAGTCAAGTACCAATCTAATACTAGTCAAGTACCAATCTAATACTAGTCAAACCAATCTAATACTAGTCAAGTACTAAGCTAATACTAGTACCAATCTACCAATCTAATACTAGTCAAGTACCAATCTAATACTAGTCAAGTACCAATCTAATACTCGTCAAGTAATACTAGTCAATCTAATACTAGTCAAGTACCAATCTAATACTAGTCAAGTACCAATCTAATACTACTCAGTCAAGTACCAATCTAATACTAGTCTAAGTACCAATCTAATACTAGTCAAGTACCAATCTAATACTAGTCAAGTACCAATCTAATACTAGTCAAGTACCAATACTAAATCTAGTCAAGTTTAATCTAATACTAGTCAAGTACCAATCTAATACTAGTCAAGTACCAATCTAATACTAGTCAAGTACCAATCTAATACTAGTCAAGTACCAATCTAATACTAGTCAAGTACCAAGCTAATACTAGACAAGTACCAATCTAATACTAATCAAGTACCAATCTAATACTAATCAAGTACGAATCCATTAAAGCTGAAGGTAAACTAACGGGCAAAAGAATCAATACCAAGTCGAAATCACTGATATTATAAAACGACAAAGCACAATTGTGAAAAAGGAAAGTGAATTTTGATAACGGGTGTTATGCATGTTTCCCATACACCTGTTACTGAAATTCACTTTCCTTTTCCACTATGGTGCTTTGTCGTTTTGTAATATTGGTGGTTTCGACTTGGTCAAAACATTGATTACAGAACAGTCTCGTTTCCTGTTGACTGGGTTCCGTCATATTGCGCAACTTAGTACAATAACCAGTCCAGAATTTTGAGACTAATTCATTTAACTGGACACATAAATATTAATCATTATTATTTGATACATCTTAGCACTTGCATATTGCAACACTACGCTTCTTAAAATCCTTGCTAACACGTCGTGCAGCGTGCTCTGTCGTACAGCGAGCACTGACAAACAGAAACCTGGAAATCGTGGAAATCTCAAAACGAGGCTCTGCCGCTAGAAAAGTTTGGCGGGCTGGTACGGAATTGATATTATATCAATCACATTGTGCGTAACAGAACTACACTGAATAAGCACAAAACACACATAACAGGTGTAACCAGTGAGCCAGATGCATTGTGAATCATTTACGACATCATCAAACAGGGGCACTCTGTGACGTCTTAGTTAAGGTCATGCAGACTACACCTCGCCATAAAATATAGAAATACGATGTTATTAAAGTTTAAAATTAAAATTCATTTGTAAATACCATTTTCTTATGAAACAAGATATTGGAATCCAGTGTAACCATAGTTGTTGTTTGTGCTGTGTATTTTCACTTTCACACGACAAAATTGGGATAGGCTGAAAAGTAGGTCATTGTCTGAATATGTAAATGAGACTCATGTTTCGGTTTGTTAAAGAACGCTCGATTCTTTTGTATTGCTATGTTTAATCTGTCATTACCAGACCAGGTTACCTATACTCAAATGAACAAATGGGCTTTATTTACAATCTACTGAGTGGTATATAAGGTTTAAACGCCAGACAATATCCAGTCTTGACAAGCCATCGAAACAGGTTCATTGGTAGTGAACATGATGTGAATGGATCACTAGGAATCAGATAGGGGACCACTTTGCCAAGCTCAGCAGTGAGTGAGTGACTGAGTTGGGCTTCACGCCGCTTGTGGCAATATTCCATCAATATCACGGCGGGGGACACCAGAAATGGGCTTCACGTATTGTACCCATGTGGGGAATTGAACCCGCGCCCTCGGCGTGACGACCGAACGCTTTAACCTCTGGGGTGCCCCAAGATTGGTGAGCAAGATTTATTGTCACATGTCACACTGATCATTGAACAAAACAATGCTAAATGGAACTTTGATCTATCCGGGTGAACTGGTAGACAAAACTGTAGGTAGTTATGGCAGTGAGGGTTTCACCAAGTCATATCATGTTCCCAATTGAGGAACTGGTTGCCGTTGTACAAAACAACTTTAGTGATCGTAAGTCCCATACCTCAACAGAGACTTAAGATAGACTTAGCGCTAAGGTTGTTTTGTACAGCGGTACCCTGAACAGTAATTTGCTATGTACCAATATGGTATGCTATACTGGTTGTTGGTCGGTTTGTTGTTTAACGTACTCAGCAATATTCCAGCTATAAAGCGGCGGTCTGTGTGAGAGAGATACGCAAACGAATATCAACGTTGAAAGCTTTTTATATCTATATTTCCGCCCGAAAATGAATTCAAACACAATGGATGTCCGAATACTTGTCACTGTTTGAGGATTCGGCGAAACGGTGCAGCAAGTCCTGTCCACGACCATGGGCATTCCGATCCGCTCGGGTAATTCCGTTAACAATACCATGGGAAAAATGGAGTTCATTCGTGACCAACTCGTGTTATTCCGGGACAAGCCGAATAGCGTCTTCTTGGAGGTTACGGAAAGGGGCGAGTGGTGACGACTGAATGGAGCTGTGAGGGGTGATCACTCAGGTACACTTCACTTCTTCCGTTATCTGTACACATTTAATCAGTGTCTTGAGTGCATAAAGTACAAGATATCAGCCGAGAGATTAGTGATGTAATAATTTCACTGTGACGCCACGACGTCGCAATGTCCTCAAAGCATATTCATGCAATTTCATTGTAGCGATATTACATAGGGAAAGCAGGATCCTGTTCAACAAAGCGATGTCAGCGTAATTAATGTCTTAAGTCTGTGTCAAACAACGGGAGTTACTCAATGATCGCTTTCTGGAACATGTCCCTGTTTCGGATAACAGAACGTGTAGCAGCATAAAGGTCATAAAAGCCTTACCGTCATAATGAACAATCTGACAGTCACATAAACGAGTGAGAGTAATAAATCCAGTTCCAAATGGAATCCTCAGTATGCTTGCCGAGATGACAATGGAGCTGAGGTGTGTAGAGTGAAGTTAGTAAAGTTATACTGACGACAGTTAAAGCCCCATGAGATCTTGCGTCTCTCTGGACTTTAGACTCGGCGCCAGAAATGAACATCTTAATGGATATCAAATAGTTGAAGTTTACAGTCGTCAAGAAAGAAAACATGATATCTGACCACCCGATAAGCTCAGAAATTGAATTTGATTCTTTAAATGCAATCTACATAATCCCCAGACAATATATCTCCGCGAAACACATGTTTACGTCTACCACCTGCAAGTCAGCCATCGACTGGGACTGTTATGTGCACCTGGGACGGAGGGAACTGAACAATGAGCTGACACGGGGGTCAAGAACGGTTGTTATTCATGGCTGGGCTTCTCTCGGAGACATCGGTGTGGGGAGTGTGAGCACTAGGTATACAACATCCTTGAGAAATGGAATAATACGAGCTGGGTATTGTGCTTCTCTTGAGTGTGAGAGCGCGTTTGCTTTAGTCGTACTTCAAACAACTTAATGGGGCGATGGGGTAGCCTAGTGGTTAAAGCGTTGGCTCGTCACGCCGAAGACCCGGGTTCGAATCCCCACATGGGCACAATGTGTGAAGCCCATTTCTGGTGTCCCCCGCCGTGATATTGCTGGAATATTGCTAAAAGCGGCGTAAAACTAAATTCAGTCAGTCAAACAACTTAAATGTATTACGGTTTTTGCTACTGAGTGTACATATTGATTTCAGTGTGGCGCCATGCTCAATAAGGACTTGTATAAACATTCATTTTCAAACGCGTAATGTCGATGATCAACTTAATGATTTTAAGTCTTATCATGTAAAGTATGATTTTAAGTCTTATCATGTAAAGTATGATTTTAAGTCTTATCATGTAAAGTATGATTTTCAGTCTTATCATGTAAAGTATGATTTTAAGTCTTATCATGTAAAGTATGATTTTAAGTCTTATCATGTAAAGTATGATTTTAAGTCGTATGATTTTCAGTCTTATCATGTAAAGTATGATTTTCAGTCTTATCATGTAAAGTATGATTTTCAGTCTTATCATGTAAAGTATGATTTTATGATAACACTCGTGTGACTCAGTAAGTACTTTAATAAGTTTGGCTTCATTTTCTTTTAACATTATATCAGATATATAGTTAAGCCTGTCATTGACGTTTTACCACTCACGTGAAACAGACGGGGAGGGTAAGGCCAAACCCATGAGCATAGGGACTATTATAAACAGGAGCAGACAGATCGGTAATCATTCACAGTAAGTGGGAATCTGGGACTGACAGATATAGTTAGCGGATCCTGGTTCGACCACGGTACCCACTGGGCCACCCTGGTTCTACCACAGGGATAAAACGCCTGCCAGTTCACCTCTCAGATAAATCTTTCTCGTTTGATTTTACATTTCCCAAATATTCACCATAATAATCATATGGAATATTGTATGTTGGGATATATTTCACCTACATGTACACTCGAAACTCAACTTTCAAGTAAAAGAAAAGTGAAAATATATATTTACACTTTTATTAGAATCTGTTACTAAGATTCCGTCAACACGTGTACAAGTTGAACATGTTGATGACAGACTACACAAGTGGGTAGCTGGCCTCGGTGGCGATACCGCACTGGTTGTTGCGGTTCCTGGACATCTTGATGTAGCCGGCGTCGCCCCAGGTCTCACCCCAACTGAAGACACGAATAATAACAATATATTGATGATGAGGATGAGGATGTCAAGAAGACAGTTACTACTGCTACTGCTACTGCTACTGCTACTGCTACTACTACTACTACTACTACTACTACTACTACTACTACTTAATTAAATTAATGGTCTACAGTGATTTATCGACCTTTTTAAAACAGTCAAAATCAAGAATGACACTCCATGCACGTGTGTGGGGCTACTGTGTTGTGCACGTGCATTGTTTAGGGGTGGTGCTAAAGAGAAATGATACTGCGTTCAGAAGATGTCTGACTTTGAAAGTTTGTTAACGCTTATACTTCCTATCCAAATTGACAGTTCAGATTCCCCTACTTTTTTTTAAAGAGCATATTAACGATTACCAAAAAGCAACGCTGACGATACTGGTGGTAATAAATATAGTCATCATAAGCATAACTGCATATACATATTATACCCCGAGTACAAAATCGACCAGGTCAGGCACAACGTCATCAATCATAATCAAATATATACTTCCATTTGCTAATAAAGTTCAGGTCATGATAATATAGTTCCTGCTGTTTCGTTTGCAGTCCTAACCAAAAGCAAGTACCTGTTTTTCACAAGCCAGTAGTCACTGCCCTCGCTGCTGCCGTAGCCAACGGCCAAGACGCCGTGATCAAGACGGGTAGAGCTGCATGTGGGCTCGTCGTAGACGCCGCTCTTGTACAGGCGGAAGGTGGGGCGGCTGGCGTCAATGGCGACGGAGATAGGACCAACAGTGGCAACAGCTTGCTGAAGAGCGTTCTCGTCGTTGTGGGGAATGTCAGTGAAGCCGGTATCGGTGGCGCCAACATCGGCCTTCTTGAAGCGGCATCGTCCATCCTGGAAGATGTGTTTAAAAACATGTTTTATGCATGGAAAAAGCATTTTCCTCTAAATATACATAGCACATATAACAGACACGCGCTTCCACATTTCAGTCTTAGAACAAAAAAACAAACATTTGAATATTGGCAGTATTCTCTTCGACTAGAAGCAGGTCGTTTATATGACTATATAGCAAGACTAATTAAGCAGTTTAACATGAAGGGGATATCAAAACTGATTATTAGAAACGGGGTTCGTTTTTTATGATAAGTTTTAGTTTTTGACAAAACCGGAACATACCCTGGCTTTGTATGGGTAGGAAGCTTCGGTGTCGATACCTTCGTTTGTCTTGATGTATTCAAAGGCAAAGTCCATGAGACCACCCCCGCATCCATGGTTACCTGGTGGAGGAATTGAGGAATAAAGTAAAATTGATCTTCAGCAAACTCTTTTGTAAGAGATGACAAAGGGGACCCCGTTGTAAGATCTAATATCCGGATACGTATATCGACGTTCTTGATACCAGTTACTGGATTGGCTGGTCCAAACCCAATCATTTACACATCGCAGTCATATAGCAGAGCATTGGCTCTGTGCGGTGTTAACAGCAACAAACACGATGCCAACGTTCATACATCTTCAAAATATGTTGGAAAATGGTATAAACACTATTTTCGTCAGTTCCAGGTGCATACTTATTTATTGAAATCATTTCACCAAATATGAATGGACCACTGAAAATAAGTGAGGACACCAGGTGTTCGCGAAGCGGGTAAGCATGTTTTGCTCTACCGGTGTCCCCCGCCATTCACACAATTGGCCTAAAAGGTAAGTTCGAGTACTTTTGAGTGAGTGGGTGAGTTGAGTTTTACGCCGCTTGTAGCAATATTCCAGCAATGTCAGTGCTGGGGACACCAGAAATTGTCTTCATTGTACCCATGTGGAGAATCGAACCCGGGACCTCAGCGTGACGAACGAACGCTTTAACCACTAGGCTACCCCGAGTATTTGTGACATGCGACTTGGAATGCAATGAAACCTGATGGATGGACCAGAAATATTTTAATCAAGTGGTGGTGAAATTGGGTTTAACGTCGTGCTTGAGAATATTTCGCTCATATGTCGACGTGCATGCGGGTGTATGTGTATGTGCGGCTGCTTGTACTATCCCAGACTGAAGCTGGTTTTATAGTGCTAGCCCACTGAGATACCATGCCGCAGTGAAGCATGAATACCCCACTCAGACACATTATACTGACTCCGAGCCGACCAGTCCTTGTTGTACCCATTAATGCCGAGCGCCAGGCAGTGACCAACAAGTACCATATTTTAACGTCTTTTGGTATGACGCGGTCGGGGATCGAACCCGCGACCTTCCGCTGTCCGGGCGGACGCTCTAACCACTACACCACGGAGGATGGACCAGATAATTTTAATCACGACTACTCTCCGCATATTCTCCGCTGCTTACAAATAAAGTTTGGAAAATTGATATTACGTGTTAAATGATCACTCACCTTCAGGCTTGGAACAGTCAACAAGGTTCTGCTCGGAGAGAGACACCAGTTTTCCATTCTTCTTGAAGTTCTGACCTTCCAGGGATCCTGTGGCGGAGAATGACCAACAGGAACCACAGGCAAGCTGTAACAGATCAAGGTATTGGGTATAGGTGAGTCAAGGTATTAGGCAGGTGTGAGTCAAGGTATTGGGTATAGGTGAGTCAAGGTATTGGGTATAGGTGAGTCAAGGTATTGGGCAGGTGTGAGTCAAGGTATTGGGTATAGGTGAGTCAAGGTATTGGGAAGGTGTGAGGCGATGTATTGGGTATAGGCGAGTCAAGGTATTGGGCAGGTGTAAGTCAAGATATTGGGTATAGGTGAGTCAAGGTATTGGGCAGGTGTGAGTCAAGGTATTGGGTTTAGGTGAGTCAAGGTATTGAGCAGGTGTGAGTCAAGGTATTGGGTATAGGTGAGTCAAGGTATTGGGCAGGTGTAAGTCAAGGTATTGGGTATAGGTGAGTCAGGGTATTGGGCCAGTGTGAGTCAAGGTATTGGGTATAGGTGAGTCAAGGTATTGGGTATAGGTGAGTCAAGGTATTGGGCAGGTGTGAGTCAAGGTATTGGGTATAGGTGAGTCAAGGGATTGGGCAGGTGTGAGTCAAGGTATTCATACCAGCTTCCTTGAATCACAAACACTGTCACAACAAATCTGACACTGAAACCAATTCAATGGAACAGGCACTATAGTGAGAGAGTGTGTTACGTTTAACGCCGCTTTTAGCAATATTCCAGCAAAATCATCCAGAAATGGGCTTCCCCCATTATACCCAAGTGGGGAATCGAACCTGGGTCTTTGGTGTGACAAGCGAACGCTAGGATACCCACCTATACAGGCACTAAAAGAAGCACTCTAATAATGCAAATGTTCCACCAGGAGATATGAATAAAGAACCACCAGCTGGTATTTAACATAGCTGTCTATCCATCTCACAAAAGTTATCTCTTCAACCATTCATTCATTCATTCATTCATTCATTCATCCATCTATAGACAGTTCTCCAGTGGTTCACTGTACCTGGTTCTTGATTTCTGTGACGTATCCCTTGGTTCTCCAGTCGACCTCTGTGGGAAGGGCCCCGATGTTGTTGGGTGGGAGGAAGGTTGCACCTTTACGGGTTCTGTTGACCATTCTGTAACCGTTCATCTGTTTCACAAACTCCTCTGAAGTCTGGTAAAAAATATTTACGATCACATTTTTAATTCAACTTCAAGACAATTTTTTCCCTGTTCGTTTTCTTTCTTTTTTTGAAACGTGAAGATGCCACACCCAATTTTCTACGAAGTGTCTGGTGTTTATAAACAGTTGGTGGACGCGTGACCTTGCTGACAAAAGGACCCTCTTTAGGCCATCGTCTTTTATGATTTTACGAACGCTTAAATCTCCGTTGTATTTGAAATGATCTAGATTCTGGAAAAGTTTTATTCAAGTCGTGCGCACTCATTTGTGCCTTCTTCTTATTCAGACTTTTTGTGTTGCGCTAACGTAAGTACTGAAACTAGTTATGACATATTATATATATTTGAAAATAAGTAAATAAATAACTAAAATCCCGATGTAACTGAGTATAGCTCCTGTCTACAGCTGTGGTGAGTGAGTGAGTATAGTTTTACGTCGCTTTAAGCAATATTTCAGCAATGCCACGGAGAGGGACACCAGAAATGAGTTTCACCCATGTGGGGAATCAAACGCATGCCTTCATCGTGACGAGCAAACGCTTTAACCACTAACCTACCCGCCGACCCCCAACATCTGTGACAATCCAGACTTGTCAAATCATTCTGGACTTGAGTTGAATATGTTCATTCGAATCTCTACTCTTGGGTATTTAAGACTAATTGTCTATTATATGGTCTCCGTTGTGTCTAAGCGGAACTTGTAATTATGATTAAGTTAATTAGACACGTGCCTCGAGTTAAAAGTTAAAAGTGGGTTAAGAGTGCAGCGTTCAGACGAGATACTGGACAGTGATGCACAGTTCTCGTGTCCTCATGGCCTACACTTCAGATATCTGAGATATCCATCATTTGGAACTACACACTGACCTAACGGCCCGGATATTTCCCTGCATCACGTGACTTGTTATCTGACCCCGACTCACCATATCTGCGTACTCGTTGACCCCGAGTCTGTAACTGTGAAGGCCTCTGTCCGCCTCCAGATTGTGTTGCTGGATGAACTGCAGACTTCTCTCCCAAATCAGACGTCTGTGGAAGTAAAGGAGTGAGTGAGAAAAGATTTACTCCGCTTTTAGCAATATTCAGCAATATCACGACGGGGGACACCAGAAATAAGCTTCACACATTGTACCCATGCTGGGAATGAAACCCGGGCCTTCGGCGTGACGAGCGAACGCTTTAACCACTAGGCTACCCGACCGTCACATGAGATTAATCGAGTAGGTTTTTCCTTACTAGTACAATGCATGAGTTTCAGATCATTATCTAACGGCATGGTACACTTCCGTATAACCCGCTCCAGCGGCGTTCGACAGAGAAGTATATACCGCGGAGTCATGGCAAATGGTAGCCTACTTTATCTGTTATGAATACTCACGGTTTCGCGAAGTGTATGTTAATATTGACTTTAGATGTAAGTGTTGTACAGAGCCAAAACATAAATAAATTTAAAAAAATTAAATTCTTTTAAAAATAATAAAATAAATAAATATGTACATAGTAAGTGACACCCCCACACCTGCTTGTCATGTACAAAATCGATGACACCCTTATCACACCCCCCTCTCCAACACTGTCCCTTCACATTTTTTTATACACCATCCTTGAGTTGATTTCTGACGGCTCGGTGTTTATGGCCGTATATTCTTTGTGCATCTTCCTTACAGTTAACAATTCAGTTGTCATATGTCACGTATTGTGTATATGATAGAGGGCGGTGGGGTAGCCTAGTGGTTAAAGCGTCCGCTCGTCACGCCGAAGACCCGGGTTCGATTCCCCACATGGGCACAATGTGTGAAGCCCATTTCTGGTGTCCCCCGCCGTGATATTGCTTGAATATTGCTTAAAGCGGCGTAAAACTAAACTCAGTCAGTCAGTCAGTATATGATAGTGAGTGAGTTGTTGCTGGTATTGTTCTATTCACACCACTAGTATACGTTTCACAAACATATACAAATATAGGTCGGTGGCTTATATTCGACGATCATTAAACGCCGTCAAGGCTTCTTTCAAAATAACGACAGAAAATAAAGGAAGTCCGTTTTCACAAATTTATAGATGTCTTTAAGACAGGAAATGGGTCACATCAAGTCACTGGCGCACAAATTAGGCCTTGGTCAAGTTGGTATCGAACCCACGGCATGATGTGCGAACTTCGGAACCACGAGCTTGAGAACAATCTAAGTTGATAAGAAATCAATATTGAGGTCGGACCTTCTTCATGTCAGGTGAAGACAATACAGTTTGCTGACAGTGATCGACGAGTTATCACGTGCATGTTATCACCAGAGTGTTATCACCTGTCCGCACCTTTGGTCGTGTTATCTTGTAGTAACACGTCCCCTGATCCTTCAGCGTCACAAGGTCATAATGTTGATGGAAAAAATCTCCATAGGATATGGAACACCTGCTACCTAGGCTGAGGCAACATATTGTCACTCGTGTTCAAGTTGGCTTCGCTTACTTTTTATATTGGTTTACTTGTGGAATGTAGCATGTCATTTTAACTGATTAAAACGTGGTGTTTTTAAAATGCAAGTTACCCACAGTCTCCAGGTACACTAAACATCAGATTGAATAAACGAATTTTCAAGCAACTGTTCCAGTAGGTTTTAGCACGTTTCATACTCCTAGCCCGTGTGTGGTTCAAGCCGCTCTAAGCAATATACCAGCAATATACCAGCAATATACCAGCAATGCCACAGCTTCACACTCCGTACCCATGTGGGGAATCTAACTCGGGTTTTCGACGTAATGATGACAACTATACCTCACACACACACACACACACACACACACACACACACACACACACACACACACACACACACACACACACACACACACACACACACACACACACACACACACACACACACACACACACACACACACACCATATACACCTTTCAGTATCCAGTAAATTAGTCACTATCTGAACTTTCTAAAAGAAGTGTTAAGTAAAACGCTTAATTAAAATTTGAATTAAATTGATGATTGTTGAATGAGTTTGATCAGGAATGCAAGCAATGCAAGTGAGAGAGTGGCGACAGAGGGTATGGCTGTAGAACATGCAGTAAACACAACGACAATCATATGGTGGTTGATTAGGGCCATCGCTTTCTCGCCTTAAAATTCGGAGGCGAGAAAGCGAGAAAGCGATATCACGACAAGGCGAGAAAGCGATGGCCCTAATCAGCCACCATACAATCACGCTTTCGGACCGATAACTGACCGCCACACTAAACCCATATGGAAATCGACCTTGGGATTTTAGCCTGAGAGGCGAACACTCCAACTACAAAACTACGCTATGTAATTGTAGGCTAGGGGGAGGTTTTGTGCGTTTGTTTGTTGTCTAACTCACTCAGCAATGTTTCAGCTTAATGACGGCGGTCTGTAAATAATTGAACCTGGACCAGACAATCCAGTGCTAGACAATGATACAATGATGTGCATCAACCAATTCAGCGACCCGCACGACCCGATCTCGTTAGTCGCCTAGTACAAGCGTGGGTTCCTGAAGGCCAATTCTAACCTGGATCTTCACTGGGTTGAGTCACCATATATATTACATCAACATATACAGATATACCTTCATATATAATGTATGTCCACATAAACATGCCGTAAAAGTATGGGTTTCTGAGACCAATTCTAACACGGATCTTTACGGTTATGGTGTGGAGCGAGTGAGTGAATTTAGTTTTACGCCGCACTCAGCAATATCCCATCTATATGGCGGCGGTCTGTAAATCATCGAGTCTGGACCAACCAATCCAGTGATCAAGTTGAGCATCGATCTACACAATTGGGAACCGATCACATGTGTCAACCAAGTCAGCGAGCCAGACCACCCGATCCCGTTAGTCGCTTCTTACGACAAGTATGGGTTACCGAGGATCAATTCTAACCTGGATCTTCACGGGTCTGGGTATGGTGTGGAAAGAGTGTCAGAGTGTCAGAATGTAGGAGAGGAGGATCGTCTCACCTGATGACGACATCATCCGTGGAATAAACCTTTCCGTAGGTCTGCTTGAAGATCTCCCACTCGCCATCCAAGGCGTGGTCAAGAGGGGCGGCGACGGCGACGGCCACCAGCAGGGCAACAACAGCGTATCTGAACATCTACAACAACCAGTAGTGGGTGAGGGAGTGTCTATGATAAACGGAACATTATGCCAGGTGTATAACGCCGGATCATTTTGGAAGAGAAATCATTCATCTTTTTGTATTGTACGGACAATTCTGAGAAATTACGAACTTGGTTCATGCGAGTTTGAACAGTAGGCCAGTTAAGGGCATGGTGTTGATTAACAGTCCAAAGTGATGTAAGACTCAGACATGATGTACCTGAATGGATAGTGAGTTGCCAGACCGGGAATCCAAGGTTCGAACCAGTTATTAACAGCAATGAGTGAGTATTGTTTTACACCGCTTAGAATTCTAGCTAAATCATGGAGGGGACACCAGAGTGAGTTTTACACAGCTTTAAGTAATATTCTAGGAATCAGCAAGAGGCACCAGAAATAGGCATCACATGAGGTACCTGGGAACGAACCCGGGTCTTCGGTGATGCTAGCGAACACTATAACCTCTAGACCACCTCATAGTGATGTAGGGGCGGTGGGGTAGCCTAGTGGTTAAAGCGTTGGCTCGTCACGCCGAAGACCCGGGTTCGATTCCCTACATGGGAACAATGTGTGAAGCCCATTTCTGGTATCCCCCGCCGTGATATTGCTGGAATATTGCTAAAAGCGGCGAAAACTAAACTCAGTCAGTCAGTCATAGTGATGTGTAGCCTCGAAATATCACATACCCGGAACTAAAGCTGTTCAAATGTGCAACGTCACCCTATCCACTACCGAGTTCAAAAAAACGGTCACGATCATGACATATAAACTACAACACTGTATATAATTCAACAAATATACAATAAGCAATTATTGACAGTTATGGCAGTTACCAAGGGCTATACTAAGACATCTCATAGTATGAAATCAACAAGCTTGTGCCCGTGTACGTTACCTTGTGTGGAGGGTGAAGCAGGCTGAAGACGGCAATGTACACGGCTTTATAGTATGCAGTTATCAAGGAAGCTCATATGCCGGTCATGTGCTATGGTCACGAGACTCTCGATAACGCGTGCCCACCGCCGTGCAGCGTACGACAACATGTACTTTAACATGTGATCGATTGTGCAGTGCATGTGATGTCCCTGTTAACATGTTCACGAGATCGACTTGATCGTGTACTGCCCATGATCGATGCAATAACATATACATGTATATCTTGGTGAAGTATATACGTGACGTTGGTCTCGGTACAGTAGAGATAGGGTGGTGACATGGCAACAATATATAGACCATGGTAGAAGTAGAAAATACGCTGAATTTTCGTCATAGATGATGATGATGATGATGATGATGATGATGATGATGACAACGACCTCACTTACGAAATGCCACGCCTGCATCCCAAGTACCAAGTTGTCCAACTCCACAGTATTCTTGGAACTTTAGGTTTGGTTTCTCCCAATCTATTGACTGACTTTGGAAGAGTACCACCTGAACCCTCTTTAGTTGCATTGCACCCGTGAAGATCCGGGTTAGAATATTGGCCTTCAGTAACCCAGGCTTGTCGTAAGAGGCGACTAACGGGATCGGGGGTCAGGCTCGCTGGCTTGGTTGACACATGTCATCGGTTCCCAATTGCCAAGCTCATACTTTTGATCACTGGATTGTCTGGCCCAAACTCCATTATTTACAGACCGCCGCCATAAAGCTGGAATATTGCTGAGTGCGGCGTAAAACTAAACTCACTCACTTACTTTAGTTGCATTTATTTGTTTTTAAACTGTTCACACGTCATCATTTCCCAATTGCGTAGATCGATGTTCATGCTGTTTATCACTTGATTGTCTGGTCCAGACTCAATTACTTACAGACCGCCGCCATATAGACGGAATATTGCTGACCGACCAACTACACTAGTTGAGAAACAGTTCCCTAGTCGTGATGTAGTATTTGTCCTCTACACCAGGACATAGTTTCTCTACCCGCTTCCGTGTGCTTTGTCCTATGCTCTCACGTTAGTAGCTCCTTTATGTAGTGTATCGTAGACACAACGCAACACCATAAGGAAGCATAAAGGGAAGTTTTCCGGAATTTTGTGAAGTTTCTTTCCTGCTGTACACTAGTCGCAGTACTGAACGTGAAACATCCGGTTTCAATTGTAGTTGTATTGTATTGAGCAAATATTTAAGTCATGTATGTTTCTTTTCTAATCTTTGTTATATAACACGGCCTATACAACGTAGTAAGCCGTGACCTATACACCGTATTAAGTGATAGGTACACAATATTTGTGGAATCGAGAGAAGAAGGGCGACTGTTACAAGAACTTTTCATGTATGGAGAGTGGTTATTTACTATCACTTTCATGACACCACCAAATGCAAGTCAGTCGAAAGTTTAAGAATTCTTCGTTTCGTTTGCTGAATGAATCCAACTTTTGCATCATTCAAGAAGGACATAGTAAGCATTCGTGACCAACTCGTGTTATTCCGGGACAAGCCGAATAGCGAGGTTACGGAAAGGGGCGAGTGGTGACGAATGTAACATAAGCTGTATCGTGTGTGATTGCGATCCCTGTGAGTAAAAATGTATATACAAATAAATGTACAAATCTACTTTTTGTTTTGTTTTCTTTCATAGTGATATGTTATGATATGCCCTGGTCAAATTTTTCGAAGTTCGGATAACTCGATATTTTTTCTTGGTCCCATGAATATCGAGACAACGGTGATCGACTGTATATTGTATAAAAGGGGATTTAACATCCGTGAACTAATCGACATATACCCGGTTAGAACAGGTATAATCTTTAACGTCTTTTGGGACGAGATATTCTCTACAGGTATACAGAAATATAACGCGGAAGTAGAAATAACGACAAGGAGGACGAATGACTCAGTTATGCACCGACGCTGGGACTTTAGAAAAAAAATAAACGCTTGGTGACCCAAATATTTCACAACATCGTGCAACTATCTGTGTGGCAAAAAAACGACTGTTATCATGAGTGACAATATCTGTTGTCAGGTTAGGACCGGCAGTCCGATACGTTACGGATTTTGATCCCGTTATTTTCGTCTGGATTTTCAGCAATATTGCAAAATCACGGCTGGGGACATCAGAAATACATTGCGAGTGAGTGAGTTAAAATTTAAAATCACACCGGCAGTATTTCAGCCATATGGTGACTAAGAAAGTTGTACATTTATAAATGAATAAACGCAAATTTATATAATATACTTACCTGTCTGGAAAGGACAGTAAAATAACTAGAATATGACAGTTATAAATGTAAAACTAGTATAAAAATCTAAAACATCTTAACTAGGAAAGACAATACATCACAAAAACAAACAGCTTATAGATTGCCAACAACTGAAGGTAGATCACCTTACTAGGGACCATGGGGACTTACAGTGTATTTGCTTCCTGCATCGACCCAAGCTGAATTTACACCATCCCTTCAGCTATTAGCAATTGGAGACAAAAACTAGCCATGAATTAAAATGACATATATACTGCGGTTAAAAAAGTAGTAAGTTTAAATTTACTCTGAACATTTTGGGACTTACGTACCCTCTCTGGAGGACAATAATTTTACAGTACTTTAACCACCTTTGTGGATACAGCCCTGAACAATCCCAGTTGATAATCTAAACTAAAAAATATAAAATATTTATCTGTTTACAATACATAACAAAGTCATGCAACAATTCTATTTCTTTTTAAAAAAAATAATTAAATGTAAATTAACAGTAGTAAAAAAGATCCTTAACAGTTTTGACATAGAAATACTTATCCCATGTGATGGAAAAATCAATGCTGTCAAGGAAATACATTGTACCATGTTGGGAATCCAACCCGGGCCTTCGTCGTTACGAGCGAACGCTTTAACCACTGTGCTACCCCCACCGTTCCCGTTCCCTGGTAACTCCCTAGGACTCAGTATAAGGGTGAAACTTGGATTCGAACCCGTGAGCTTCAGATTCCGATATTAAGTGAGCTGATATTTTTTTATGATTATCATCAATATCTGTACATGGTGTAATTTTTCATGTTATATTCAACTACGTATCCGACGTCTACCGTCGTTAAAGATACCTAATTTTAGGATCGGGTAATTCAGTGTATGTCATCGTCCCCAGTCAGGTCTCAACCCTGCCCATGCCATCAACCAGAGGATTACCTAACAGATCAGGGTTACCCATGACATGAACAACTCACGTTTAACATTTAAAGTTTACAGGGGTACAGGGTGAGTGAGTGAGTTTAGGTTTTACGCCGCTTTTACCAATATTCCAGCAATATCATGGCGAGGAACACCAGAATGGGATTCACACATTGTACTTATGTGGGGACTCGAACCCGGGTCTTCGGCGTGACGAGCGAACGCTTTAACGATTCGGCTACCCCACCACCCCTTGTCTGTTGTGACATGTCTGTACTGTGACATGTTGCATGTCATTTTAGGATGTAAAATGTGATAACACTTCGATAATAGGCCGCAATACTTATTTTGAGTAAGTCAAGTCTTCGTTTTCGTGGACCCGTGAAGATCCGGGGTAGAATAGGTCTTCAGCAACCCATGCTTGCCACAAAAGGCGACTTTGCTTGTCGTAAGAGTGATGGTCAGGCTCGCTGACTTGGTTGACACATGTCATCGGTTCCCAATTGCGGAGATCGATGCTCATGCTGTTGATCACTAGATTGTCTGGTCCAGACTCGATTATTTACAGACTGCCGCCATATAGCTGTAATATTGCTGAGTGCGTAGTAAAACTAAACTCACTCACTCACTTCGTGTTTGTGTCTTCGCTGTAAGAGTATTGAACAAATATACAATAATCAATTACATTCAAGAGGGACAAATACACCAGTGTGCAGCCGTTAGTGTGAATTCATGAGTGAGTGAATATGGTTTAACGCCGCTTTTAGCAATATTCCAGCAATATCTCTGCGGAGGACACTAGAAATGGACTTCACACATTGGAAGCACGTAGTCTTCACCTTGGTCTTCAGCATGACGAGCGGACGCTGTAACCACTAGGCTACCCCAGCGTCCCTGCGAAGGTCATGTTTGTTTTGTTGTTGAGTATCCTCAACGTATTGTCCTGATGCTTTTATTTATATTGTCCTTTTGTTAGGCTCTGCAATTTGCAGATTATTTAAGTATGACCTACCCTTTGAGCACCCGTCCTTTCTGATCTGTTTCTGTGGGCATACGAGGCCTAATTTCTTCCCAGTTTTCAAAATCAAATGTAGTTGGATGTGGACAAGACGTCTAATATCGGTAAAATATACTCATGCCAATAATGGTTGTCACCCTCCCCACCCCAACCCCCACACCCCACACCCCCCCCCCTCTCAAATTAAAAATTTGAAGGGGTGACAACCATTATTGGCATGAGTATATCAATAGTGCTTCAATAATCCGATGGCTTTGGCCAAATAGCAAACTAACAACAAATATTCAATCCATCTGAGCTGGAACTAAGACATAAGTGGAACTGTCTCATCTGTGTCTTGTGTAGATACACACAGTATTTATTCCTGTAAACCCCTGAATTTGCCACTAGCGACCCGTGATGATCTGTGTTAGAAATGGTCTTTGGGAACCATGCTGTTAGTAAGAGGCCACAGAAGGGATCATTTGGTCAGGCTTGCTGGCTTGGCTGATGCATGTCATCGCATCCCAATTGTGTGGATTGATGCTCATGATGTCAATCACTGGATTGTCTGGTCCAGACTCAATTTACGACCACGGTCATATATGAAGAAATGTTCAGTTCGGCCTTAAAGAACAAACAAACAAATACAAAAACCAAAAACAAACAAACATGATGACACATGTCATCATGTGTCAGATTTTCTGTTTTTTTCAGATTCTTTATTCTCCATAGGATCACCGAAGGTGGTATAAGAGTGAATTACATGGTATAATGATACAGTATGATGTGCAAGATGGCAGTACATATAATGGGTACAACAAACATGATAGTGAGAGGTTATGACACTCGTGTTGCAATAATACTTATAAATGTTGCAAGGGATTTGAGTTCCTTTCTTTTACTGGATGAAA